GTTTTTCTACTGGTATCTCCATATACTCTTAAGAATGCTTCAATAGATTGTATTCAATCTAGAAAATATTCTATATGAAGATGACCATCAATACGGGGGATGTTGGTTGTTACCTTGTAATCATTATGTCTGCCCTCTGCATACTATCATCGTTATTGCAGATTATCTTAGAGAGCATCTTCAAAATCAAATTCCAAATCTGTGTAAGTTGTAAGTTGCTCTTGACGAAGACTTCTTGAAAGTTGCATTTACATTAAATTAATCAAAAGGCAAAAGGCAAAAATACAACTATGGATAATGCTATCACCATCCTCCCTAGTAAAACAGAAAAAGTAGGAACATTGTCACTACAAAGATCATTCCACAAAAAACTTACATTATAAAGCAAAATTTTTACAAAATCAGCTTCTCTATTAGAGCACTGTATGATTTGATGACAAATAACCTGCTTGAATTGGATGAAGACGACAATATCAAGTCCCTCTTTTGGAAGGGCTGGCCATTTAACTTCTCCATGATGTGCTGCAAAAGTGTAATGGCACTAATGTTATCTCCTTAAACAATTACTCTATCCAGCTCAAGCATTCAATGCTCAGTAAGGTTCTTAAGAGAGAGGACAGCATGATGCTCCACTTGATTACTATCCCAATGCTGAAATGACATTGCTTAAGGTCATAGCAACTTGCACGGCTGGGCTTCCAAATGACCAGGCATGCTTCTTGACATTCCCAGCACACCAGAGTTGATGACCGACATTATAGTAGAGGCAAATAATAGCCCTTCGGTGGTCATTAGCATTTTTAAAGAGTTGAAAAAGAGTAGGAATTCTGGGAGCAACAGGCATGTTGAATCCCCAACCCTTAAGAATCCTGAAAATTTCAACTATCTTGGAGCAGTCAATTGCAATATAATGCAGGTTTTCAAGTTACGGGTAGCCCCAAGTGCATTGAATTGGGTCAGGGAGACCTGACGGTGCAGCCACTCATTAGTAAAGATAGCATCACAAGTCAGCCGTCACCAAAAGAATTTCTCACGAGGGTGTATGTGAAGGCATCATAGCTAGTGGTGGTCATCAGGCACATGTGGGAAATTAGTAGCATAGGCAATTGTAGTTATGATTCTACTCCATAAAGTAAATATGAGCTTAGGTTTGTCTTCGAGGAAGGCGGGGCTTACAGGAATTGAGTGGATGATATTAGTTGTTGAATAGGATCCACATGAATTCCAACTTCCAGCTGCCATCTGGGTTCAAGAGATTTGTAATAGTCAGCAGTTCAGATGCTTAACTGTTTGACCGGCCCAAGGCGGCTGGTTGAACCGATTTATCCTAGACCAGTTCACATCTAGAAAAGGTGGGCCAAAGGGGAGTGGAACGAGGGAGAGGGGGTCAGCTGAGTGAATGGGGCCCATGTACTAATTAAGTTTTGGGTTGGAGGGAAAACTCAAACTAGGGGCTGTTTATGGATTAATCAATTGTCCCTTTGCTTTAATTAGTTTCATCTTATTAGGGTTAGGGTTATCTTGAAATTTGAATATGAAATTTGAGATCTTCGTGTTGGTTTTGGGCTCTAGACTTTGAATAGAGATTTGAAGAGTGGAATCTTGTAATAACACGTATTTTGACTTTGTCATTTTTTTGGAGTCATTGACTCCAAATCACAATCTATCTTCGTCATAGTATCTTGATCGTATTATTTTACTTACATGATTTTTTTCATAATTTTTTAGATATATGGTGCGATTTTTGTCCGTCGAGCCTGTTGGGAAAATTGCCCGTCTCGCTATAAGGAACTTTTACACCACTACTGATTTCAAAGATTTTGTGTTTTTGGCATTTTTCTGATCAAATTTGTGTTTCCGTTATCAAAAAACTTAGAATAACATTGTATTGGTAAAACTTTTACCTCGTAACTTTTTGAATGTTATAGAGATTGAGATTATGAATGTTTTGGGTATTTATTTAAGATTTTTATTAGTTGATTTTGAAAATACAACAATTTTTGTCTACTCAGAAATTTATTTTGATGTCTAAAAATAGTGATTTAGTTCAAGTAAAGCTTGAGAATGTTATTTTATGCAATATTTGATAATTTGGTCAAATTCTAAAAATGTGAATTTTTGCTCAGTGTGATTTTTGTTATCTACCATTTGTACATTTTGTCATTTTTTTAATTATGCTCAATTATGCTTTATTTACTGCAATATATTATAAATGAATGTGGATATGTGCTTAAGTAATAACTAGTCGATATTAATGTTATGATATTGTGATAATAATGCGCGTGTCGTGTAAAATACAAGTAAAGAATAGTTGACTCGTTGGTTGGAGACTAACTGACCTATACAAGATGGTAGGCCGATGAGCTTTCCTTTAAATAAAGTGGTTTGGTTTTATCCTCTACTAATTCACGTGATACAATAGTTGAGAGTTATAAGAAGATTATTATTGTGCCGACGGACAAAGAGTGATGACTGTATTTACTGAGCAAATGATTTACTAATACCGATGCTAACATTGAAAAACACTTTGATAGTCAGGACTTCTTACTTGTTTAGTGTGACTATTGAAATATATGTTCTTAAGATATTATTCTTATTATTGTGTGAATTTATTGTTACTGCACGGATTTATTATTATTGCATTATTTTACTGTTCTTACCACTAGATTGTTATTGTTACTTATTTAACTAGATATTGATACTAGTTAATACTACCGATTCACTGTACTGATAGTAAGTGTGATATAATGAGCATGTGATATACATGATTTATTGTGCATGTGATTGAGATATTGAGTCTGTAATTGAGATATTGATCTTATTGCATTGATATGATTTTAACAATGTTTATCGATATTTTGATTTGATGCTTTATCTGATTTTTATACTAATTATTATGGACATGGCGATTGCTTTATATATTTGATATTCACACTGACTTACTATTTTACTGGCTTACGTACCGTAGTATTTTACTGTTTATAGATTTTATTACTACTACATATGAATTTTTATTTTTTTGCATTGATTTAATGATCATATGGATGCAACTGTTATGATATGACTATTGACATGCATTGCTCCTTTTTCGTGCTTTGATTTCAGTTGTTGGTTTTGGTGATTGGTTCGACTTTTTAAGCTCATTATATGTGATTAAATGATTTCAGGGGTGTGAGGCTGGTCAGGATTATTCGGGTTCTTTTTTTTTTCTTTTGTATACATGACATAATAGTTATGATATGATTGTATAGATCTTGAGTATTGTATATGATTTTTCGGAATGAATATAGATGTGTACATCAATGTTTTTAATTATGGAATATGTTTTACTGTTTAATACTGATAGATGGTATTTTTGAATTATAGAATTTATTTTGTTGTTTAATACTGATAGATGATATTAGTAGCTTTAGTGTTGTTTATTAAAGGATGAATGAATAATTCTTCCGAATTAGATTCTGGGGCATTACAAATCTTCCTCTCGAATTGAAGATTCACTGTATCGGGTTGTTTTTTTTTTTTTTTCATTTCCCACTCAATTCTAAGTGCTTTTCTTTGTGATTTCTTTACAGAATTTGTGTAAACTACTGTATTATTGCTGAATTTCTCTGAAATTCTACACCATTTTTCATTATTTTGTATTGTTACCTATCATTAACATGCTGATGAGAAATTCAATCATCTTCAAAATCAACGAACTCCAGATAAGCTAGTGGATTGAGTCTTTGGGATCGTCACTAAGTTTGGTCATTGCAGTAGCCTCTCTCTTGATGTTGGCATAGTTGTCAAGTCCACTGGTATGTTTGTCGTCACAAGATTGAGAAGTTCCTAAAATTGCAAAATTTACACATCTTCTCCACAACAAAGCATTGGAATTGTACAAAATGTTTCTCGCTTGCGAGAGATATTGCCAATCGATTGTATGATGTAGTTAGCCATAGGGATCTGATACCAAATTTCCCCATCAAGCAGAGAGGAGAAGGAAGTGAAACTGTATTATGTTTCAAAAAAATAAAAGAAGATTAATAATATTCGTACACCATAATCACAAGGTAAATAAGACCTATCGCCAACAAAGGAATTAAGAAACTAAAACATATTAAGCTAATAGAGTAAAAGTCCAAAATAGTCCCCGACTATTAGTAAGTGCCTAATTTAGTCCCAGGCTTTTATAATGCCTCAATTTAGTCCCCCGATTATTAAAAAATGTCTCAATTTGATCCCAAGGCCAAAATTAATAGTTTAAGTTAACCCCAACAATTAAATATGACGATATTTTGAGTATTAAGGTGTATGTAAGATTATATTATTATTTTTATGTATTTTATCGTTTATCATATTAAAATAAATACAAAGATCATAATAGAAGTTAATCACATTTATTAATTATTCACTTTTATTATTTAGTTGGTTAATTTCCATTATGATGTTTACATTTATTTTTATATGATAAATAACAAAAATATAAATAGTAATATAATCTCACATACACCATAATATTTAAAATGCTCTCACATTTAACTGTTGGGTTGACTATTACTTTTGGCCTTAGGATCAAATTCGGATATTTTTTAATAGTTAGGGGGCTAAATTGGGCCATCATGAAAGTCTGTGACTATATTGTACATTTACTAATAATCAGGGTATTATTTTGGACTTTTACTCTAAGCTAATGTAACTAAGGGCATAATAAAAATGTTTAGCTACAAATTCAACAACCTGAGAAAGTGAATTTGGTGAGCCACACTACATCAAAATGGAGTGTTTGAGTAGGGATCCTTGTGGGAGGAGTAATGGGAGGCAGGCAAGGGGCGTAGTGGCAAGGAGGTGCTTAACAAGGAGCGGATTGAAATCAGCTGGTGTCATGGAGGTGCTCAAGAAAAATCACCACATCCTCACCAAAACTCGTGATGTTTGGGTATTTTCTTATTTTTATCATATTTTATTTACAAATTTATGGATAAACAATAATGGATATTGCATAATTATGATACTAATAGGAGTAGGGTTCCTCAAGTTGCTTTGAACAATTTGCAACGGCGTGCAGGAAAAGTTTTACCTCCACCAGCAGATGAGTTAGGCACTAACGGAACAGCTTCTAGCAAAACTTGTTTGAGAATGTCCTCAAATGTAAGAAATATGACCTGGAAATGCGATCTTATGATTATTGAAAGCCTTCTCTCTAAGCAAATCTAGGACTTGCTATTATATGTCAAGCACTGATTTAGGCTTTACTTCCTCTGTATCCAGAATACTACTAACCATGCCAAATCCGCTAATGTTTCAAGTGGAAGGTCCATAGTACTTCCAGCTAGTGCTTCATGGTATCTTCTTCTCCTTGTAGTTTTTGGAATGATTTGTTTTTTAATTTTTTGCGTCTGTTTTGCAGGGGTTCACGTATTTCAACTAAATGTCCGCCAACAATGACTTCACCATGCTTTCAAAACCCTGTCAAGCAGAAGCCAGAGTTTTGCAGTTCAAGCTCATTGTATTCATCCGTATCAAGCATTAAATGCATTTCTGGATGGGATGATCATGTTTCTGTATTATCAAACACACCTGACATCGGGGCAGTGGATGGTGGGTCAAGAGTCTTAGAACCTTTGAATCATGTTTCTTCTATACTTGACCATCCAGTTGTATCAGATGACTCATCAGAGACTAGTGTATTTGCAGAAAGTTCTTTAATAATTTCTGCATGGGATGATGATGCCACATCAAAGGCACCTGAAAAAAGAAACATGATGCATATGGATTCTCAATCTAGTCCCCAGGAACCTCTAAAGGTAAATGTCGCAGCCGATGAAATTACATCTGATTTGTGTGGATCACCGGAGATTGTTTTTGATGAAACATGTAACTATGCATGGGATGATGAGGGTGACATAACATCAAACCAAATCAAAGATCTAAGTTTTTGTCACATGGATGGCAAAACTACTTTGTTAGAAGCATTGAGATGTTCTAGTGATCAGGATTCCCAAACATCTTTTTCAGGGGATAGTACGGAGGGTGATACTCCTTGTACCCCGGACATTTCGCGTAGTTCTTCTCAACTTTTAGACACACTAACTGGGCAGAAAGATGGGTTAACCTTACGCGAAATTGTTAGTTTGGATTCAGCTAATGACAAAAACCTGGAATGCAGTGATAGCCTCTCCAAAAGAGTTGATTGTGATGATGCTATCAGCAATAGTATTGCGCCTAAGGAAAATACAGAGAGTGTATGTTTGGGGATCTCTGGTATAAATTTTGACAGTAGACTTGTGGTTGATCCCCAGAGCAAAGATAAGTATCAAATTGTGTCATCTAATAATCGTTCTAATTTAAGTGATGGAAGTTTAGCCATTGAATTATGTCCAAATTATTCAAAGAAGGAGGTTGAACGGCCAAGCTCAATGCCCTTTTCTCATGCAGCTGTTGTGATAGATTCACAATTCTTCCCGACAGACTCACCTGATTGGACCTCCAACCAACAGAGTGATTTGTCATTGGCCATGGTAAAGGGTGATAATTATATTTTAACCAATGATGATCAAAGAGAAAAGGTTTCAAATGCTTCTATTCAAACAATAATTTCTTCCTGCAGTCTAATTCCATCTAAAATTTCATGCTCTCCAAAAAGTAATTCGTGTAAAGAAGATGCTTGTGATTTGCAATATCCCATTATTGCAAATACTTCAGCAACGGATGCGGTGGTGGATCAAGGATATGCTATATTAAGAGATCAAAGTGGAGTCCTTTCAGTTTTGTCCAAGCAGGACCAAAAAGATAATTATGCCATACAAAGGGAGAATTTTGAAACCCCTGACATGATACGAACCGACGAAAATAAACCAAATTATTTGGTAAAGTCTGATGATTTAATTACAATAAAGACTGAAAACATTGATGTTGGTGAGGGAAGCATTATATCCAATATTTTGTCACTAGATTTCGATCCTTGGGATGGTTCCTTACAATCTGCTGACAATTTTGCCAAATTGCTTAATGGAATGGATAAAGGCAGCTCTTCGACTTTGTCAAGTTCATGGAAGTCTCAAAACCATAATCAATCTAGATTTTCATTTGCTCGTCAAGAAAATTCAACAAATGTTTCTGCAACTTATTCTTTGGCTACTAGTCATGTAGAGAAATCGAGCAGTTCAAACAAAGAGTCATTTATTCACAACAATATTTTGCTTAATACAGTTGGGGGTCCCGGTGTTGTTTTGAGCAACGGTTCTCTCTTTTCATCCAATAACTCTGTTGGTATGTCGATTTATAGAATATGCTTTACTTATTCTAAATGCATTACATATTTTTATGCTTATCATTTAATCTTTTTGAGCCGCCATTAGTTTTCTACATCCATGTTAGAGTTTTTGCAATTTTTGATGTTCTTTCTATGACCCTAATTACAAGTGCTTTCAATTTGAATCTTGAGTGCCATTTTTGAATTTTAATGTTGAACCAAACATACCATGGAATGAAGCAACTTTTTGGATTAAGAAGGTTGACTAGAGGTTTAGGAGAATCCGAAAATAGATCTTCATAAGGAGATCTAATTATGTAGGGAGGAGATGCAAAAGATTATTAAAGAAAAGTATATATTTTTTAAGATTGCCAAAGCTTAATAATTGTGATTATTATTGGTGGCTAAGTAGTAGAGGAAAAAATGAGATATAGAAATTATTCATTGTAAAAGAAAAGAGATTTAGATATTTTTAATCAAACAATATTTTAAAAGTTAAGATAGTAGGATATTAAAAAGGTGAAATTTGAAATATAATAAAAATGCTTTTTAGAGGAATAATTTATTGAGAATTTTTCGAGAGGATATTTTTTAGAATAAAAGATGAATAGATTTGTGATTTGAGCTATAGAAATGATGCAAAAGTGAATTTGATGCAGCTTTTAGGAACATGCATAAAGGTGAAGGTTTGGCTCTTTATGAAATGCACTTTTAAATTTGGTTAGTTTTGAGAAATATTTGATTTAGTTAACCAATCTTTTACTAAAACCCTAAAAATTAAAAGTTTTAAATTATTAGGGAGAAACATTATGGTGCCAATCTTTGAGAATAAAGAAGAGGTTTATGATTGTGAAAATTATAGGATATGATGAAGTTGTAAGAGATGGTACTTAAAGAAAGTGATAAAAATCATAGCGATATTAGAGAAATAATTTATATTTTTGTCAGGAAGAGCTACAATGGAGGTGATTTTTGTTTTGAGATAATTATTAAAAAGAGAAGCTTAAGTTGTTGAAATCACAAAATGCTAAAATCAATATGGGTCCCACTTGCTTGTGAGACTTGGCATCTTGCTGACTAGGCTAGCATGATAAATCCCTAATGAACAGTATAAAGTGCAACACGAGTTCTCATATGTTTTTTTTTTTGTTAAGCTTGAAAAAGCATATAGTCAAGTACTATGAGAAACAATGTGATTGGCATTAGGTAGAAAATGCATGTGAAAAGTACTTCTATGTCATTAAAGAATATATAAGTGAGCAATAACAATAATTAGAATTAGTTTTTAGGGAATCAAAGAGTTTCACATCACAATAGGATTTATCAAAGATTGGTATCCAGTCAAAGGGGCCTTGATGGCATAGTTTTGGTCAATAGGACCTCTTTTGAAGTAAAAAAATTGAAGCAATGGAAGAAATTTTGTTAGTGAAGAGGTTCTGGGATTAGTAAAAGAAAGAATGAATACATAATATTCACTTATAAATTTATAATGGATATTGAATTGGTTATTGTTAGTCAATATTGCAAAAACATCAAATCTTAATATGATGCGGTAGATTTAAATACTTGGAATAAGATACAAAAATGGAAATATAGTTGAGAACATTACTTTTAGATTTTAAGAGGTTCTATAAGATTGGAAGTGTGTTGAAACTATGTGATAAGAAAATATTATGAAGAGTTTAATTTAATAAAATTGTAATTATTTGACTATGTTTTATTTATCCAGTTGGTCGGAAATAAGTTGAGGCTAACAAAGATGGCAATGCTAAGTTGGATGTGTAGTGTAAATCTAATAACGATGGTATAAGAAATTGGTATATTAAAAAGATAGAAGCAATAAGATTGCGTAAGATTGATTTAAGTTACTTAAGAATGCACAACATAGGATAGAATTGTGTAACTTATCATTAAGGTGGCTAGATAAACTTAATTTTAAATGTTTATGATGCTAAACAACAGTTTACAGTAGGCGTGTCAGTATTTGATCTGACCCGTGTGGGCTCCGAAAATTCGGCCCCGGCCTCCCCGCGCGCTTTTTCTTTTTCGGCGAGGGAGTTTTAACGAACTAAGTTCCGGGGTAAATTTTGGAAGGCAGATGGGTTTGTAAAATTGGGTCGTGTTCGGGTTGACCAGAAAACTCGAATGTGACCCGGAAATGACTCGGATCCCGCAACCCCAACCCAACCCACAGTCCCGCACCGCATTCCTCTCGCGTTCCTGCTGGCTCATTGCATCTTGCTCACGCACCTGCGGCCTGCCTTGCACCCACACACCCGCGGCCTGCCTCACTTGTGACCTGCCTTGCCCCCGGCCCCTCGCGCTCGACCCCAGTCCCACCAGCACACTGCCAGCCTCTCACCCGTCCGAGCTACCAGCCTCACACTCGAGCTCAACCTCGTTCCCCATAGCCCACCCTCAGTCTCCCGCTTTGCGGCCGGGTCAGTGTGTCTGGTCGAGTAGACCGGGTTTGGGGCGAGTCGGCTATGGATTCAGATTTTTGACCCGTTTCTAGAATCGGGTAGAGTTCAGGTCGAGTCAAATAATGATAGGTCATTTTTGGGTTGGATTCGAAAATCTATTTTGATACCCCTAGTCTACAGGTAAGACTATTGTTAAGGAGCATAAATATTTATGCAAATTAGATATAATTCTCTATATTAATGATTGGAGAAGATTATTCAAATGCCAACCCATTGAGGTAAAGCTATGATGATGAAGATGAAGGCTTATCTGTTTGGCTTATTTCACGCAATCTTGATGGTGATTTTTGCAAAGATCTAAGACATAGGATTTTGAGTAATTGCAATATGTGTGTTGTTGAGATGTGTTAGATGATCTTTGGCTTATTGTGATTGGACATCTTTCTCACTTATTTGTCTGCGCTAAGAGGCTTTGCTCCTGCGTCTTAGGGGCATTATCATAAAAGTTGATGCAACCATGCAATGTTAAAACACCACAGCTGCGCCACATGAACTCTTAATGCTTATGTTAGTTTGATAATTGCTACTAGTGAAGATATCAAGTTCATTTTCGCTTGATTTGCAAAATATAAATATAATGATTTAATCATTTTCAAAATTGCATCATGCCATCTCTTATATAGAATACTCTAGTTGCCTGAGCATCCAAATATGAATGGGCTTATAATACTAGCATGTGTGCATGTATATGACTATGCATGTATGGATGGGACAGATTAACATTTATTGTGAGTTTTTGAACTCCTAGGTGGAGTCATATTTCTACACTTGTGCTTTAATGTATATTTTCTCCATGAGCCAGTACTATTGGAGACATGAGAATACATAATATCATAGACAGACGATGCAGCAGCCTTCTTTTATCTGTTAGCTGATTGTGTGAATTTTAGTAAGTATTGAATAATATGTATAAATGAATTGTGAATTAATGAATACCACGTCATGTTTGAGTCTCTTATTAAAAGAGGTAAGATTGGTTAAGCAAAGGGGAGCGGATGATGCTTGTGTGGGTTTTAGTTTGTTTTTGGTTGAGGTGAGGCGGATATTGCATGAGTATATTGGTGTACTTTACTCAAATGTTGGAGAAAGAGTCTGATTTAATGTTGTTTGAAGTGTGCTTTGGGACCGAAGTGAAGCAATGCGCTAGCCTTGCACATTTCATGCTTGTGAAACGAAGCCTCAAAACAAGGCGCATGTGTCGCCTTGCTTTTCCCAATCGCATCATAGCATTATGCACTCCTGCTTATGGAAAAATATCAATTCCAATTTCATTATTCGATTTCGCATCTGAAACAATAACAACACGATGATTTGCTTTTTGTTATTATATATTGTAGTTATTGAGTCAATACTCATTGGTTCTTTGTTCTCTCCCACTGGAGCTAATCGCTTTTTGGTGGCTCTTCTCTTTGCATTCACTTCTTCGCTAGTTATTATAAGATTTTCACCATTTTTTTGCTGGCACTAGTAGTTTCTTATTCACGGGGTTCTTCTCAAGGAAGTTTCTCAATGAACCTTGATATTTTCTCTAGGTGGTCCTTTAATCTCATGAAAATATTCTCAATTTATGTATTCTTACAGCACTTTATTTTTTATATCATTTTTGTCTTTGATTCTTTTATTTAAGCTCGAACGGTAAAAGCGAAGGCCAAAAGGGTGAGTAGAATAGTAGATTACCTGTGTGAAGGGAGTGGCTTCGAGTAACCTCATGCCTCCCGGCTCCGCTGGCTTCGTCGGCGTGTCGTGTGCGGTGTGCAGCGTGCGGCGTGCTGCGTGCGACGGAAGAAACGTCACGAACGAACTCAAGCGTGAGTTGGGCAAAAGCTTTATATTAGGGCAAAAAAAGTAATTTTAGGGGGGGCAAAGGTCAAAACTACCCCCACCTCTTATTCTTTTTTGCACTTTGAGGGTGGGCAATTGCCCACCCTAAAAGCAACGTCGATCCGCCAGTGCTTTTATTTATTTGGATTTTAAATAGCTAGATATTTTTGTTATTGGGCCTATCATTAGATTTGTTTTGGGATGTCAATTCGGATTTACGAATTAGGTCCTGTTTTGAATTGAATTTGACCAATTTCGAAACTTTATGATCCAAACCTAATCCATTTATTAAATGTTTTTTGACCGAATATGACTTGCCTTCAACCCCATTGATGCGAACCTGACCAAAGTAACACATTTACATACAGGCTTCTCAATTAAGTAGAAAATGGAGGTAGATTGGGAGGATCTCAAGTTTGCTTTGTAAAAAAGGATGATTCAAGAAATTGATTATCTTATAGAGTTGAGGAACTGGAGGCAAAGTTCGCTAGTCATGAATTTGTTAGACCGGTCCATTGGACCGGTCCAGCTGGTCCACACGGGACCAACCCAAGCGCGAACGAGGCGGAAGCCTCCGCCTCCCGCTTTAGCTACACGGCTCGCCGAAGCAAACAAAGCATTTTAGGAAAGATTTTTGAGGGATTTGGGAGGGAAATCTGAATGTAGGGACTGATTAGGGATTTCCTTTTGATTTGTATGCATTAAATACTCTGTTTTCCTAAGGTTAGGGCATTTGGAATTTGGGCTGAAATTTGAGATCTCGTAGATTTAGGTTTTATTTGGGCTCTAGCTGCGTCTAGAGATTTGGGAGAGATCGATTCTCTCGAATTGAGGATCAATTGTTTCTTGTTTGTTTTTCTTCCGTTAGTTGATTTCTTGCAATAAAATCTACTATTTTCCTTGGATTTCATTGGATTTTGGAAGAATTTCTCATTGTTTACGAAGATTGATAGAAATACTTCAGATCTATAAGTGTTTCCTACAAATTGGTATCAGAGCAAGTCCTGGGACCGTTCGTGGGTTGATTTTGACGAATTCCGGTGACTGATTTTTGGTCGGGAAGGGACGAAGTTGCTATTTTTGAAATCCAAATCCGAAATTTTTGGATTTACAAAAGTTTAGATCGAGATGGCGGCCAAGAAAGTTGATGCGCTAGAAGAAAGACTTTAAGGAGAGATGAACCAAATCAAGACAACGGTGGAGCAAAGGATTTCCTCCATGGATGGACAAGTAGCTGATTTTCGGGACATGATGAAGAAAATGTTGAAAATCCACAACTAATTGGCAGCTTTCGTGGTAAAAGGGGAGGAAGGAAAAAACACGAATTTTTAAATTCGTAGGGAGGAAGATGAGGTGGAAATCGTGGAGGGAGAAAGAAGGAAACCCTATTTGTAGCCTTTCCAGAGGGAGGATAGAGGAGGTAGGTATGGGGAAAGGCATGGGTATGAAGGGACAGAGCAAAGAGGTGTTGATTGGGAACACCGGGAGGGACATTATGATCGTCGAGGTGTTGATTTTGAAGGAAGAAGAGGGGAATTCAAAGGGGGTTTGGGCTATGGCAGGGCAGGGGAAGACCGGGACACGTGGGGTGGGCCGAGCACTTGGGAGAGAGGAAGCTATGGAGGAATAAGGGGTAATGGTGGAGATCAGAAGGTGAGGAAGTTGAAGATGCCTATCTTCGAGGGGGAGGATGAGTAGGGGTGGATCTATAAGGTGGAGATGTACTTTTCCATTAATGGGCTAACGGAGGAGGAGAAGCTAATAGCAGCAGGCTTATGTTTGGAGGGGAAGACACTGTCATGGTACCAGTGGAGAGACTAGAGGAGACCTATCAGGGAGTGGAGGGAATTCAAGGACTGCATAATAGAATGTTTTCAAACCGATCGGGGAGGAGATTTCTATGAACAATTCTTTGCTCTGGCATAGGAGGGATCAGTAGCATACTACCGGGAGCAGTTTGAGCACCTAGTCTGTAGGGTGGAGAGATTATCATATACGATATTGGATGAGAACTTCATAAAGGGGTTTAAGGCATAGATCCGAGCAGCAATGAAGGTTTTGATGCCTCGTGACTTGGGGGAGGCCATGAAGTTGGACCACCTGGTGGAAAATCAGAAGAATCTAAAGAAGTGAGCCAGGAGCAGCAGCTCAGGAGGCTCTTATAGGACGACAACCACTCTTCTAGCACACAAGGGGCCTACGTCAGACAACATTAATGAGACCACCAGGGAGAAACCATTAGGAGGAGGGAGTGGGAAAAATTTCAAGAGACTGATAGAGAAGGAGATGCAGGAGAGGAGGACAAAGGGGTTGTGTTTCAGGTGCGAGGAGAAGTATACGCCAGGACATCGGTGTAAGGATCGAACTCTTCAGGTTCTCACTGTTTATGATGACGAGGAAATTGAGAAGGGAGTGAAGGGGAGTTAGAGGAAGAGATGGAGGAGAAGTTGCATTTGGATATGTCCGAGGTTTCCTTGAATTTAGTAGTAGGATTCACTTCAAATCATACGATGAAGGTGAGGGGGGAAATAGCAGGCATGAAGGTGGTTGTTTTGATTGACAGTGGGGCTACCCATAATTTCATTTCCACTCAGGTCGTCAACCAACTGAGAGTGAAATTGGTGGACACCGATTATTATGGGGTGATGATGGGTACATGGAAGGTGGAGAAAGGCCAAGGGATCTGTATAGGTCTGGTGTTGACCATCCAGGCAGGGGATTTAGGTAAGGGAGGATTTTCTCCCACTAGAGTTAGGAAGTACTGATGTCATCCTGTGTATGAAATGGTTGCAAACTTTGGAGGAAACCAAGGATAATTGGGGAGCACTTACGATGGAAATAATGATGGATGGGAGAAAGGTGGTTATAAGGGGAGATACAGGGCTATCCAAAGCCATGGTATCACTTAAGACCATGGTTAGGAGCCTACAAGAGGTGGGGGAAGATTATCTGGTGGGACCCCACAAGCTGAATGTGATAAGGATGGAGTGAGGGGATGTTTCTCTTTCAGGGCAACCCTTAATTCAGCAATTTGGTAAGGATTATCAGCCACCTCAAGGATGGCCACCTCTACGGGAACATGAGCATGTCTCCACCTTGAGGACACCTTGAGGACAAGGTGGATCTTCAATAGGGGAGTATTGTTAGACCGGTCCAGCCGATCCATGCGGGATCGTCTCAGGCGCGAACGAGGCAGAAGACTCTGCCTCCCGCTTTAGCTGCACGGCCCGCCAAAGCAAACAAAGCATTTTAGGAAGGATTTTTGAGGGATTTGGGAGGGAAATTTGAATGTAGGGATTGATTAGGGATTTCCTTTTGATTTGTATGCATTAAAGACTCTGTTTTCCTAGGGTTAGGGCATCTGGAATTTGGACTAAAATTTGAGATCTCGTAGATTTAGGTTTTATTTGGGCTCTAGTGGCGTCTAGAGATTTATGAGAGATCGATCCTCCTCTCCCAATCATAATTGGTTCGGTCCGGCCCGTTCTGTCGAACCGGCCTGATCTATGATAGGGCGGACGAAACTGTTCGCGGAACAGAGGAGTTTTTCGCGAACAGTGAAGGGCGGACGGGCGGCTTCGTACGAGGAAGCGAGGTAAGTTCAATTTTTTTCAAAATAAATGGAAAAGAAATGAAAAGGATATGCATGCAAACCACAAGAGTTCACCCCTTATGGTATTGGTTGGGGACGTCGTACTCGTATATGTAAAAAGATAAAAGGTCATGAAAATTGAAAAGGAAAAAAAATGAAAATGGTTGTACTTATACTTTTGAGTACATTTATACGATGCTCCTGTACGAATTAAATGGAAAAATAAAATATTAAAGTTTTATAATGTTTTAAAGGAAAAAGATCGGATATGTATAAATGACAAAATGAATGAAATAAAGTTAAGAAATGATAAGACGTATTTTAAAAATTATATGTATATTGTGAAAAGAATATTTATGTAAATTGCTTTTAATTGTTACCCACTGAGTTTAATTTGTAAACTCATTACACTAATTAAATGTTTCAGGTAAGTCTCCAAAGATTTAGAAATGACAGAAAGAGAAGAGTTCGTCTATAGAAGACGACGTGCAAATGACAACAGATAAAATGACTGATGAGAATGCTTAGTTTGGTTCTAGATTGATTATAATTTTTTTTTTTGTGATTAGTGACTCTTCAGTTGATAAAAATTTTATGTTAATGTGTTTTATTTGGAATGAAATGAATTTGTAATACTGTCCGACTTTTCGTTCCCGACTTGTTAGATCGAGCATTTGGGCCGGATCGTGATAAAATTACTATCAATGCCCAATTTAGATATGAATTATACTAAAAGAGCCATTAGGATGATTGTTAATAAATTAAAGATTTAATATAAAATGAATATCTTATTGATAACATGAACCAAAATGATTCTGGAGGAGAGGAGGAAGTGGAAGAAGTGGAAAGACCAGTGCCTAATGTTAATGTTAATCCTAATGTACTGATACAAATAATGACAACTATGACTTAGTTGATTCAAAACTTTTGTCACGACCCGGCACGGATGCTCGATCTAACGAGGTGGGAACGAAAAGTCGGACAATATTATAAATTCATTCCATTCCAAATAAAATATCTTAACATAAATTTTTCATCAATTGAAGAGCCACTAATCACAAAAAAAATTATAATTAATCTAAAATCAAACTAAACATTCTCATCAATTATTTTACCTGTTGTCATTTGCACGTTGTCTTTTATAGACGAACTCTTCTATTTATGTCATTTCTAAATATTTGGACTTACCTGAAATATTTAATTAGTGGAATGAGTTTACAAATTAAACTCAGTGGGTAACAGTTAAAAATAATTTACATGAATATTCTTTTTACAATATACATATAATTTTTAAAATACATTTTATCATTTCTTAATTTTATTTCATTCATTTCTGTCATTTATACATATCCGATCTTTTTTCTTTAAAACATTAAAAAACTTTAATATTTCTTTTTTCCATTTAATTCGTACAGGAACATTATCTTAATGTACTCAGAAGTACAACCATTTTCATTTTTTTTATTTCCATTTCCATAGTCTTTTTTTTTTAACGTGCACGAGTACGACGGCCCCAGCCAGTACCATAAGGGGGTGAACTCCTGTAGTTTGCATGCATATCATTTTCTTTTCTTTTCTTTTTCAATTTAATTTTAACCTTTTTATTCATTTTCATATGTTATTTCTTCATTTGCATATTTCATTAATATATACATGTATCATATAACATTCTTTTTCACAAATATACATAATTTCATTCATGTTATTTCACTCTTTTATTTTCTGTTGTAATAATATTTACTTAATTTTTTTATGCATTTAAACTTTCAACATTTAACACATGACATTCTAAAAAAAATATAACTTTTAAAGCAATATTAAGATACAAAACATTATATCATATTTGAAAGAATAATATAAAATATTGAATTTCATAATTATAATTACCCACTTTGATTCCCCTCCTCAAATATTCGTCTTGTATTGAAATCTTTTTAACTGTTCATACGAATATAACAATTTAATTAATATTAAGTCTAAATTTGAATGACTCAACAAGCATTGGATTCTTCCACATAAAATTATCTAATAAAAATTTCACTTCTTTCGTCGTTGAGTCTTTTGTTGAAACGAACTCTTACAACTTGGTCTCTCCCTTTAAATCCCTAAAATTAAACAATAAAAATTTTCATAAAACAATATGCTTTCTAACAAAATTCATATGAAAGTCTACTTATAATGAGGGGATTTTTTCAAATCCCAAAGCTTTCTTTCTCCCGCACAGATCTCCTCTCCTCGATTCCAAATGTCTTCTTATAGTCAAATTAAATGTTTCCAGTAATTAGAGAAAAGATTAGGAGCAATTTATAAAGTTTGAGAAAACAAATTTTTTTTCTATGTTCTTCAAAATTGTTTCTTTCTTTCACTATCGTTTCTCTCAAATTAGCACTCCGTTAACGATAAGAATGAAAATGAATTGTTAATTCTTATCCTTAAAGAAAATCATTC